TTAAGAAAATGGCAGCATAGCTGGGTATACACCTGTTGATGCCATCCCAGAATTATATAGCACCACAATTATATAGCACCTTATAATTTTAAAACTTTCATATTAATTTATTTAAGTCTCAACTCTGTAAAATATACCCCTATTTGTATAAAGAAAGCATCTAAGGGCTGGGATTGTGGCTCAGTGGCAGAGCGCTTGCCTCGTGAGTATGAGGCACTGGGTTCGATCCTCAGCAACACATGAAAATAAATAAATCAAATAAAGGTATTATGTCCATCTACAACTAAAGGGGAAAAAAAAGTACATCTAAGATGATTATAGGTAGTCCTTGCCCAAGTTTCTTTGGTAGTACACTAAGGAGGCAGTACTTCATTCAGATCTCCTGACTTGATGGAGTATTGATGTGGGTGGAGGGGCTGTTAACCCTCAGTTCTTTCCTGGATGCTGAAGGAAACAGATTTATATAAAGTACATTTCCCTCTAATGGATATGAAATGAAACTAGAAAATGGTAGCAGTTAAGTTCAGAAATAACTTGGGCTAAAAAACAACAGAAACAAAAAAATCAAGTAATAGCACATCATAGTTTGAGGCTAGAGTGGAAAAAGTTTCTGTGGCAGTGTTTAGTCTTCTTGTAGGTCTTAGAAAATATGTAAGGTTTGTGTACTTGGTATATACTAAGTATTAGCTGTATAGAAGTTTTTCTAATGGTTCAGATTGCAAGCTACCTCTGACTCACTTGCAGTGCCAGCAAGGCAGATCAACACCTTCTAATTCACTAGTGTTGAAGTATGATGTCAATATAAATAAGGCCCCTGCCTTTGAGAAGATAAGGACAACAGACAAACATTTGGCAATGCAGAGGTAGTTTTATTTGGGAGCCTGAAGTGAAGGTGGCAGAGATAGGGAAGGACTTTTAGACAAAGTGGAAAAGTATACCAGAATTATAATATGTGGGTAAAAAATTGAAGAAGAATTGAGTTTTTACCAATGGAGGTGAGGCTTGGTGTGAAGCAGGAACTGAAAACACTGACTTGAGGATTGTGAGAGACTACATGCTTTAGGGTAGTAGTGATGACATGGGCAAGTATAGGGTGAATTGGTAAATGAAGGATAGATGTAGGCCTTGTTGACTGAGGAAGATTGCAGGGAGAAGTGGAGCGGCTTGTTAGCAGTCAGAGTTGAGAAGAATGGGGTTTGGCAGTGTTTCCCATGCTGTAGTGTTGCCTGAGAACATTTAACGCCAATGTTTAATATGTGGGTCAAAACCAAGATGGACAAACTGTGATTGCATAGATGTTAAAAAAGAAAAAAAAATTTTTTTTAAAAGTGAGTTGACTTAGATACAAAATCTTAAATAAGAGTGTAGGTGACTTATACAGACATTATCAAGGATGGCCCTTAACCCAATTTATGTTTGGAAAATAGTGATTAAAAGTTGGGAAAAGTAAACTTGGTACAGTGACACATGCCTATAATCTTAGCAAATTGGGAGACTGAGATAGGAGGATCGAAAGTTCAAGGACACCCTCAGCAACTTAGATACTGTCTCAAAACAAAAGGGCTAGGGATGTAGCTCAGTGGTAGAGCAGTTGCCTAACAAACACGAGGCCCTTGGTTCAGTCCCCAATACTGAAAAAAAGAAAAAGTTGGGAAAAGTAGTATGACAAAGACTTATGGGGTTCTAAAAAGTTTGTATCATGTTCTAGATGTCAGCTACACTGGGACACACACACACACACACACACACATTGAAGTATATACTTAATAATACATACTTCATGGTACCAGGTATTGAAGTAGGGATGCTTAACCACTGAGCCACATCCCCAGCACACACCCTCACCCCCCTTTTATTTTTACTTATTATTATTTTTTTTTTGTAGTAGATGGACAGAATGCCTTTATTTATTTTAATGTGGTGCTAAGGATGGAACCCAGTGTCTCACACATGCTAGGCAAGTGCTCTGCCACTGAGCCACAGCCTCAGCCCACCCCCCTTTTATTTTGAGACAGGGTCTCACTGAATTGCTTGGGGCCTCACTAAGTTGCTGAGGCTGGCCTTGAACTTGGGATCCTCCTGCTTCAGCCTCTTGAGTCAGTGGAATTCTAGCCATGTGCCACTGTGCCTGGCCTTAGTTTTATTTATTTATTTATTTTGATATTGTGTTTATATCTGAAATAATATTTATGTCCCCTCCCCTTGAAATGTTAGTTTTATGAAGACAGGAGACTTCACCTGTTTTGTTCAACAATGTATCTTCACTGCTTAAACATGCACCTGTTACTTGTCAGACTGCCATGACAACACCTTGCGTTCTAAAACAACACCTGCATGGTTTTGTGATGGTTCTGGTCTAAGAGGAGTATTATAAAGTGTACATCAGAACCAAAGTAATACATATATATTATTGTAAGAATCATTGCCAGAGAAACGCGGCTGAACTCTCTGAATCTTTTTTTAGACCACCACTGAATCAGTTTAAAACTTTCAGGACTATTGCCTGATTAATACAGTCAGGTAATTGTTAGGTTTCATCTGAGGGACTGGGGCTGTAGCTCAGTGGTTGAATGCTCACCTAGCATGTGTGAAGCCTTGGGATCAATCCTCAACAACACACAAATAAATAAAGGTATTATGTCCATCTACAACTAAAAATATAAAAAAAATTTTTAAAGTTTCATTTGTCCTTCAAGCTAATATCCAAAAGTTTACTGCAGGTATTTAAATCTTGCTTGTTAGAGTGATAGAAAGCATTTGACTACAACTTTTGTTCATATTTTGTTGATTATTTCATACGCTTATGAAGAATAATTTCTCATGGGATTATTGAAAGGATGCTGATATGTGTTCAGATTTTAATGCTAGGTATATAATGGACTTGGAATAAATGGAAGCTTTTGTTTATTTTTACTAATTTTTGTGTAGTGTAGCCATCTGACCGAAGACTTTTAATTGCCACATATCATTTGAATCAAAGAATTAAAATATATATGTTTTCTCTTGAGACAGGGTCTTGCTGTGTTGCCCAGGTTGGTCTTGGATCCTGGCCTCAAGGGATCTTCTTACCTCAGCTTCCCAAATAGCTGGAACTACTGGGCACATGCCACTGTACTTGACTTTTTAAGATAGACTTTGAAGAGTAGCCTACCTGGATGTTTTTATATTTGAAGTCATATATAATATATATAGGCTTACTAATGTGATTCAGAGAGATGGCTACACTGTAGCAGCTTGCCGTGAGCAAAAAATGTACCAGACGTGTAGGTATGTAACAGGAGGTTCTGTTGAAGTATGCAACCAGAACTGACCTTGGTGCTTATCTTTTGTATGTCACTCTGAGCTACCATACTGAAACCTATCTGGTATTCCAGGGTATATTACTGGTTAGGGGGAGAAAGCAAGAGGAAAACAAATCATATCTTGAGATTATAGGTTGATGTTAAATTAACTTTTACTGCATCTTGACCTTCAGGATAAATTGGAAATGTAGGGACATGTGGACATAACTGGACCAATAGACTTCTGCTTCCTTGGGCTGTTTTGTTTGTAGGCTTTCCTGTACTTACCTATTTTTTAAATTTAATTCTTTAAAATTTGTTATACATGACAATAGAATGCATTTATGCACTTTCATATATCATACATAGATGGGATATAATTACTCATTTTTCTGAGCGTACATGTTGCAGAATCATATTGGTAATGTAGTCACATATACATAAAGAAATAATGTCTATTGCATTCTACTATCTTTCCTATTCCATCCCTTCTTTCCCCTCTCATCACTTCCCTCTACCTAATCTTAGGTAACACTATTCTTCCCTAGTGCCCCCCACCTTATTGTGCATCCACATATTACAGAAAACATTCGGCCTTTGGTTTTGTGGGATTGGCTTATTTTGCTTAGCATGATATTCTCCAACCATTTACTGGAAAATGACATAATTTTACTCTTCTTTAAAGCTGAGTAATATTCCATTGAATATATATACCACATTTTCTTGATTCACTCATCTATTGAGGGACACCTAGGTTGGTTCCATAGTCCAGCTGTTGTGAATTTAGCTGCTATAAACATTGATGTGGCTGTGTCACTGTATTATGCTGATTTTAATTCCTTTGAGTATAAATCAAGGAGGGGATAGGTGGGCTGCTGCTGAACCAGAAGTCTCCTTACCTATTTTTGGGCCTTTAGTTTCCATTCTGGTGAAGCCAGAATACCTTCTCAAGTTAACATTTATAAATGCATAAAATAAAATTCATAGCATTATAAGGGAAACAAGTTATTGAATTAAAGCTATCACACTTATAAAATTTGTCCAATAATATATGCTTTCTTATTAATAACATTCAGTGGTAGATGTAAACAGTAATTCAAGATAGCTGTAGCTGTAATGTAATATGAAGCAACTGGTTTCTATTAGAGACAAAATTACTGGTATGATAATAACTACTGTAGTTTGTTGCCAATGTTCACAATTGAAAACAGTGCTAAATTTCAGCTTGTGTTTGTGAAAATGAACATGTATTTTTTCATTTTTCTTTTTTTCTTTTTTTTTGGTACCAGGGATTGAACCCAGGGGTGCTTAACCACTGAGCCACATCCCCAGCCCTATTTTTATTTTTTTTTAGAAACAGGGTCTCATTGAGTTGCTTAGTACCTCACTTTTGCTGAGGCAGGCTTTGAACTTGCAATCCTGCCTCAGCTTCCCGAGCTGCTGGGATTACAGGTGTGCATCACCACGCCTAGCTGTAATTTTTCTTGTCCAAACTCAAGAATACCTGAGAATCTTATATGCTAATGTTAAGCATATCAATGTTAGTTTTCTTTGTACATGTGTGAAACTGCAGTTAAAGACTGTAGTATCCCTCTTTGGATAATAAAACTCAAAGAGTAGTCTTTTTAAAATTTGGCACAGTATCAGATTTTATGCAGAGCATATGCTAGATAGCTCTTTGAGTCCCTGAATACTAACAAAAATAATTTGCTGTTACAGGAATACAAGCGCAAGTTAGCCAGAGTTTCCCTGGTGCGCAAAGAACTCAGGTCCCGGATCCAGAGCCTGCCAGACTTATCTCGATTGCCCAATGTCACTGGCAGCCACATGCACCTGCCCTTTGCGGGGGACATCTACAGTGAAGATTGACGACCAGTTTCTTTCCAGGGCCCAGGACTTTGCAAGACATGGAGACGGGTTAGGTGGATAGTCCTGTAGCGTTATTTTTGTATATTGTTGAGAGAGTGATACTAACAAAAGAAGCGACAAGTAATTTATAAAATTGTTTAAAATGTTGATTTGTTTACTATTTTATTAGTAAGTTAACATGACTTAGTTTAAACAAAGTGATGATCTCTGTGTATTAATAAGCTCACATAGTGATTATTTTCAAACAATCTTTTTGTAAATTTTTTTGATCCAGGGCCTTGTGAGAAAGTCCATGTTTCTATTTCTTCATGTATTTTCAATTATTTTCTTTTTTCAGTATCTAATCACTGTATACTATCTAATTCCTAAAGGGGAAGAACTAATCAGGAGTTGGTTGAGACTTTATTATGGTATAGTTAGGACTTGATTATAGAAGGGACTAAATGTTCCAACTTAATCTTCATCCTTCTCCCCAACCCAAATATCGGTTCTGTGCCTCTCCCTACTTTTGATTCCTTACTCTCTAGAGGTCAGTAATTTAACACTAAACTTGGATGCCACTTGTAGGGTCAGATCGAAGTCTAGAGAACTTTTCAGATAGCATTGTAGGAGTTCTATTTCAACTGCCATCATAGACTAAAAAGATTGTGAAATAGGGACTCCTTTGATTATACTGTTTAGAATTTTTTGAGTAGATTAATATGAAAATGCTATGAATTTTGAGACTCTACCAAGAGAACAACTTTGGTTCTGGAACTGATTTCTATTTGTCAAATCAGTCTCCTTTTAACATAATTGATCCCTTTGATAAAAAAAGCTATCTATGGGATTAAAAGAAACATGAAATGATACTTTTATTATTCCCTCAGCTGTATAACTTAAAACACAGTAGTATTTTTAGCTCTAATAGTATAAGAACTCGATATTCATTAATGTTCAGTAAAGTATCCTGGGACATTTTTAATGTTCCCTTCAAGTTTTTGAATGACTGTATATTTGGAAATTAAGAGTGCTACACTACAGGGTAGATCTGGTAAATTTTATATTTGTATATTTACAGATGTAAATACAAAACAAATGTACTTTTACCTTTTATTTCTAACCCTGTGTGTTAGAGCATTTGCATGCTCTCCAGCTTTCTTTTTAAATCATATTGTTAAGCTGTGGATTTGTATTCAATAATGACTTAGGATAAACATTTTTCTCATCCATTGCTTTACATTAGACATTTCTCATTGTAGGCAAATTCAAAGTAGATAGTCAATAAAACATCTTTTAAATCCCACAAGCCAATTATGTCTCACTATTCTAAATGGCTTCACTTTGTTTCTCAGTATTAGAGATTATAGTTAAAATTAGTTCACATGTGAAAGAGAAGGCAAAATTTAGTTTTGATAGACTGTAGTTCTGGAAACAGTGATTTTTACAATTTGACCTATTTCTAAAACAGATGCATATAAAATAGTCCCATCCATAAATGTCTTACATTCCAAAGTGTTTTAGACAACTTTGGTAGTTAGGACACATTTTCTCACAGAAACAGTAGTAGTTAGGTTCCCTATGCACATTACTATTGAAAGCTCACCTGGGAACCTAATCCACTTAACCATGAATGTACTTAACTTGTAATATGGTTGATAAATTACTAATCATAGATCCTGACCAGCATTTGTAATAACATCACTCTAAGCAAGGAAATGGTGTGCGGCAGCCAGAACCGCACATTGGGGTATCTGCCTGTGCTGTGTACCTCTGTCCCTAGGTATAGGAAATAGAAGAAAAGAGCAAAGGGGAAGAGGTAACAAATGCACAATTACAAAACCTGGTTATACCTGCTGTGAAAGTATACCAAGTAAGTTAGATTTTTTGTTGTTATTAATGTGAAAGCAAGAACTTGTATGTTAACTTATTTTCAATATCTTGACCTTATTTATGATCTGCTAAAGTGGTGATTTATCCATTCAGAATATATATTTTTTCCATTTAAAACTAATTTATAAACTGTGTACTCCTGGAAAGATTTGAAATCTTTTAGAAGTTTGTTGGAATATTTTCACCATTTAAGACAGACTTCTAACTTAGATACTGATTTTGATGCCAGTATCTGCTCTAAATATTTATGATAAAAATGCATTATTTTTTTAAAGAGCTTGATGAGATTTGTGATAAGTGATAGTACTCAAGAACCTGAATCCCACCCCTTGACCAGTCCTCCACAAACCTCAGTTGTTGGTTAGTCCACTAACTGAACACATACAATAGTCTGCTTTAGTCATGTTTTCCGCCTTATGATAGTTAACATGGTAAGCCTTAGCAGTGAATAGTCTTCCTTCCTAAAAAGAAGGCTAAATTTTTTCAAGAAATGGGGTTAGGTGGGATACTGTAATACCAAATTCTAAATCATGAGCATTTTCTTCACTGTGTACCTGAGGCAAATCATGCATCTGAGTGCAGTTTGGCCTGGCCCCTCAAGAGAAAAGCATGTCACCATACTTGCAGTAGGGGTACTGTGGTCTGAATGGATACCATCACTCTTTTCTCCACAAACAGTGCAGAGAGTTGCTGGAGTGGCAGTCTGAACAGATTCCCTGGCACTCCCTCTGCTCCTTCCATCACAGTAAGTAAAAGTCCATAGGGGAGAACCTGGAGTCTTGAGAAAGTCAGTTGTGCTCAACAGCCACCCTCCCTTAAGGAAAACCATTCCAAATGCAACTTTTTTGGTACCTCTTTCACATGCACTCCGAATCAGGGTTTTTCTATAAGAAATCCTTCAGAATCAGCAAAAGCTGGGGTGACCCAGTCATCTTGATTTGCAAAATTAAAAGAACAAACTTAGGTTGTCAGTTGTCACTGTAGATGAGCAACTCATCTTTTGCAGTATAGTTACTGAACTGGTTCTGAGAACACTTTAGAGAGAAAGAAAAAAAAAAAAAAACCCTCAAAAGTACAAATTAACTTATTTTAGGGAAAGATAGAAGGTCCTTTCTGAATTTTCCATTCTAAAAATTTACATAATATGAAATAACATAAAGTTACTAAACTGCTTTGTATTCTATTAAGAAATAGCTCCTAAAGATGTAGTCTTGTTTCATAGCTGTTGCACTATATCAAAGCTTTTTAAAGTGTAAACCCAGTTCTTCTCTGTATAGAAAGGGAACATTGTGTTACTTGATGAGTTTATTTATACAGAGCATTTGTTGCCAACTATAATTCCAGCCATCCACATGAGTCTGTTCTGAGGTGGCAGTAGCACATGGGAAGATGAACTCTCCCTGTTTGTTTACCCCTTTTCTTTGGCTGTATCTGATTACAGTATAAGATGTTCTTAAATAAAGTTTTATGTTCTTTTCAAGGTTTATTGTGTAGGTTGTTTTTGTGAATCTGAATTATTGGATGTGGGGGTGGAGGGAAATAATGGACTAGGAAGGAAGCAAAGTCCTGGAAGTGTTCAGTGATATAATGGCAAAGAAATGCTGAGGAGATTGCTGGACTCGGCCAGTGGTCCTAAACTTGAGGAACCATCAGAATCACCTGGAGCATAAAAACTGTTGATGGCTGGGAGCTATACACAGATTCAGTAAGTTGGAGTGAGACCTAATAGTTCACTTTTCTAACAACTTCATGCTGATGCTGCTGGGTTTAGGGACATGTGAATAACTGCTGCTCTGAACCAACTTTGCAACTTGCTTCATGATTTAAAATATTTAAATAATTCCAGGTAATAAAATATGGGTTTACAGTTCACTGTAGCAGGTTCCTTTGGGGCAGAGAACAAGACCTTTTGTGACCTGGTGCTTACTAGTGCTTATTACATGCTTTCAAGTAAACAGATTGACTTGGTACCTTTAATTGCCTAGCACACATGCTCTCTTGTCACACCTTGAATTCAAAGCAAATTTGGAGAATACTAAAAACCTATGGGACTCTCTAGAACAGTGTTTGCCAAACTTCTTTTATTAAACTTTGGGGAATTTGCAAAAGGAAGATATATCTATAGAGTCAAAACTTTCTGATTCTTTTGACTTAGAAAGTTTGGGAGATGTAGTCCTCTGGATAATATCCCTGGTAATCCTTTCCGAGATGACATCTGGTCACTTTACTTGAATTCAGGTGCTTTTCATTCCTATCCATTTCTCCCTGTCTACAATAGTAGGTTTTTATTCAGAGATTATGTTTTCAAAAGATTAGAAATAGATCAAAAAATCTACGTTTTAAAACAAGTCATACAAATCTTTTGACACATGTAATTAATGGACAGTATTTTGAGAAACAATGCCCTACAAAGCATACTTGATATAATAATGGCAGCTTTTATAGTTTGGATGTGAGGTGTCCCCCACCAAAATGCAAGAAGACTTAGAGTTGAAATAATTGGGTTATGAAAGCCTTAACCCAATCAGTGAATTAATCTAGTAGGGATTGATTGAGTGGTAACTGAAGGCAGATAGGGTATGGTTGGAAGAGGTGGATCATTGGGGTGTCTATTTTGTATCTGGTAAGTGGAGTCTTTCTTTGTGCTTCTTGTGTGCTATGTTCCCAGCTGTTTCCCTCCACCACACTCTTTCACCATGATGTTCTGCCTCACCTCAAACCCCAAGAAATGGAGCCAGCCTTATATGGACTTAGACCTCTGAAACAATGAGCCCCCAAATAAATGTTTCCTCCCCTAAAATTGTTCTTCTCCGGTCTTTTGGTCATAGTGGCAAAAAAGCTTGACTGAGAAAGCAGCTCACACAAGTAAGAATGCTTTCTATGCACCAGGAACTGTTCTAAGTACTGTGATATGCTCTGTGATAGATTGATTATGCCATTTTACATATGCGTAACTAAGACAGTGTAAGTTCAGCAGGACTCATGACAAGCCAAATGTTGAACTAAGATTCAAACCCAATTCTGAGTGTAGTTCCAATCCTATACTCTGTAACCATGAGGCTGCCTTTTATATTGATATATGGGGTAGCAGCCCCACTATCACCAAGTCTATGTTTTGCATAACAGGTTAAAGAAATTAAAATTATGCAAGTATTCAAATTAAAAAAAAAACAACTAAAAGCACCATTGAAAGATGGGTGCTTGTGGAAGGATGTTATGCGAAGTATTTTGTTGTGTTTCCCCCCGCCCCCGCCTCGTTTCAGGGATTGAACTGAGGTGGTGCTGAGGATCGAATCCAGTGCCTTGCACATGCTAGACAAGCGCTCTACAGCTGAGCCCCAACCCCAGCCTTCAGAAGTTAAGACGTTCTAGAGATGATTGGTGGTAACGTATGCACAACAATGTCAATGTATTTAATAGTCAGATTATAGTTAAAAGTTACCAAATGTATACTACACAACACGTATATCTTAACTCAAAAAACAATTTGGCTAAGACAAGAGGATTGCAAATTCAAGGCCAGCCTTGGCAATTTAGTGAGGCCCTAAGCAACTTAGTGAGACTCTGTCTCAAAAAACATAAAGGGACTTGACTCAGAGCCATTGGCTTGTTCAGATACATCTAAAAATAGTTAGACAGGTATTTTTAAAGTTATAATTTTTTTTCTTTTTCCAATGCTGGGAATTGAACCAAGGGGTGCTTAACCACTGAACCATATCCCTCACCCTTTATATTTTTTGAGACAGGGTCTTGCTAAGTTGCTTACACAAACACCTATAATGCCTGACTTGGAGGCTGAGGACAGCTTGGGCAATTTAGTGAGACCCTGTCTGGGGGTGGGGGAAAGAACTCTTGAGTATTCATTATGTCTCAACTCATGCCATATCCTTAAACATGCATTCTGAATGTTTTTCTCTTATGAATAAAATAAGAACTTCAGGAAGTCATCACTATTTGACCAGGGTTGGAAGATGAATTGAAAAACATTGCTTTTTTTTCAGTTGTACATGGACACAATACCTTTATTTTATTTATTTTTATGTGGTGCCAAGAATCGAACTCAGTGACTAACACATGCTAGGCAAGTGCTCTACCACTGAACAACTCCAGCCTCTGCTATCTGACTTAATGAAGAGTTTGATGGGTTGCTCACAGCTTTGAAAATAGTGCCAACTGGTCAGTAGTGACCAGTAAGAGGCACATGTTTCCTAAGATTATCCATTGCAGAATCCTTCCTCAGCTTTTCAGTGTTTTATGAGCCTAAGGTGGTCAGAAGCCCAATTAAGAATGGTAGTGGTAGATGTTTGTGGATACAAAGGGAAAGCCTGTCCCTGTTTGCCATTGTTGTGGTGCTTGTTCTTGTTAGCATAATTTCCAACTGGTTAATCTTAGCCTTTCAGTTTGTCAGGCAGGCCCTAATACATGAAAATTTAAGTTTCAAACTTTCAAGCAGCAGAGAGGAACCAGATTAATATTCAAAGTATTTTTTACTTATTTTTCTTTTTCAGTACAACTTATGAGATTCACCAAACATGGCGTTCTTGTGCATCCATTTTATTATTTTATTCTTACAAGTAATTATATATGGTCACAGGGTACAATGTGATGTTTCATTACATGTGTACACTGTGGATTAAATCAAGCTGATGGACATGCATCATATCAAATATTTATCATTTCTTTGTGGTGACTATATTTAAAATCTTTTAGTTATTTTTAAGTATACATTAACTTAATCCTAACTGAAACGTTGTATCCTTTGAACAATCTCTCTCTCAGCCTCTGGTAACCACCATTCTATTCTCTACTTCTGTGTTCAACTGTTTTGGATCCACATGAGAAAATACAAGATTTGTCTCTCTGTGCCCCGCTTATTTCGCTTAGCAGCATGTCCTGCAGGTTCATGCATGTTGTAGCAAATGATAGAATTTCCTGCTTTTAAAAGGCTGAATAGTATTCCACTATGTATTTCATATTTTAAAAATCAATTTGTTGTTCGGTCATGGTGGTGCAGTTTGTTATCCCATTGGCTTGGGAGGCTGAGACAGGAGGATGGCAAGTTCAAAGCCAGTCTCAGCAATGGTGAGGTGCTAAGCAACTCAGAGACCTTTGAGAGAGAGACCTTGTCTTTAAATAAAATAAAAGTAGGGCTGGGAATGTGGCTCAGTGGTCGAGTGCCCCTGAGTTCAATCCCCAGTACCTCCCAACCCCCCAAAAACTCCATTTGTTGGACTGGGGATATAACTCAGTGGTAGAGTACTTGTGTAACATGTGTGAGACCCTGGGTTCAATCCTCAGCACCACATAAAAATAGCCAGGCACAGTGGCACACACCTGTAACCCCAGCGGCTTGGGAAGCTGAGACAGGAGAATTGAGAGTTCAAAGCCAGCCTCAGCAACTGCAAGGCACTAAGCAACTAGGTGAGACCCTGTCTCTAATAATAGGGCTGGGATGTGGCTCAGTGGTCGAATGCCCGAGTTCAATCCCTGGTACCAAAATAAATAAATAAATAAATAAAAATAGATTATTTATATCTTTCTTTCTTTCTTTATATCTTTATAAAATAAAGGTATCTTTAAAAAATTCATTTGTCCACTGATGGCTCTTGGGTCATTTCCATATTTTGACTACTGTGAATAACACTTGCGACAAACATGGGAGAGCTGACATCTCTGCAACATATAGATTTCAGTTCCTTTGGATATATACCCAGAGTGGGATTTAATGCTGGGTACTGAACCTAAGCAAGCAGTCTACCACTAAGCCACATTCCCAGTCTTTTCCAAATGGCTGTACCAACTTCCATTACCACTGGTAGTGTATAATAGTTCTCTTTCTTTGTTTTCTTTTTGTGGTACTTGGACTTGAACCCAGGGGTGCTTTACCAATGAGCTATATTCCCAGTCCTTTTTATTTTTCACTTGGAGATAGGGTCTCACTAAATTGCTGAGGCTGGACTTGAACTTAGAATCCTTCTGCCTCAGCCTCACAAGTAGCTGAGATTATACCATGTGCTGCCATGCCCAGGTAAAGGTTCCCTTTTCCGAAAAGCTTAAGACAGGTGGAGTACAATCTTAGTTTATCATTAAAAAATAAAATTTTAATAAATTTTTATTAAAATTAATTTATATTTTAATAAAATATGTGTGTATACATTTATAAATTTCAGAAAGATTTAAGGTAGCAAAACTGTTACTGTTTATGTTCTGATACGGTTTTTAGACCTAGAAATGAGTTATCTCTAGAGCAAATTTAAAATATTACTACAGAAACAATAGAAAGTTATAAAAGGGAAATTTCTGTACCTTGTAAATCACCTAAATCAAGAGTGTTGGGCTGGTATATGACTCAGTGCTAGTGAGCATGCCTAGCATGCATGAGGACCTGGGTACAATCCCCGACACCACTAAAAAAAGAAAGTACGAGGGACTGGGATTGTGGCTCAGCGGTAGAGCGCTTGCCTAGCACGGCCAGGACCCGGGTTCAATCCTCAGCACCACATAAAAATAAAGGCATTGTGTTGTGTCCATCTATACCTAAAAAATAAATAAAAGAGTTAAAAAAAGAAAAAAAAAAAGAATGTACAAGGTACTTACTTTTGCATTCAAAATAGGAATAATGCTAAGATTTTACTCATATAACTATGTATATGAATGAGAAAATAGTACATACTGGATTCGTTTTCTGATAAGGCTACACAGGTGCAGAAGAAATCTGCATGAATGACAGACCCTCTCATTAAGCTCTCAATTTTATTTTGAAAGAAAATGACATAATGAAAACTGTTAAAACTAAAGGAGGAAAAAAATACTATCATTCAATGTCCACATATATCCTTACTATTTACAAGAACTTTCATGTATTTTTTGATCCTCAATGGCCACCTGTGATGTTTTAGTTATTCACTCTAATGAGACGTTTTCCCTATTACACTGAAGAATGCCAAGAAAAGTCTGCCTAATTTCCATGTATTCAAAGAATAAATAAATTAAAAAAAAAAAACTTTCATATTATTAATTAGAAATTGTACTAGAAAAATTTCTTATTTTCAAAGTCCAAAAGACTTCATAGAGAGGATAAGAAATTTCTGAAATCTACCTTTGAATTTTTTTGGGATTCATTCTGACTAAGCAACATTTTTAGTTGAGAGAAGTGTTTCTTTCCTTTTTTCACACTCCTTGAGGAGCAAATGGGTGTTGATTGTCCAGATGTAGGTGTTCTGAAAAAAAAAATAAAGATAAAAAAATTTAAAAAACTAAGTTATAATGACAAGTGACAAAATAGTCTTCCTGTACAGATAAGTGCTACTACAATAATTTCTTAGTCTTTTGTATTATGGCTATATATGGGCAGTGGCTGTACTCAGAAGTCATTCCTATTTTTAAAACATCTCCTCGTGAAATATCAGGCTATGGACAACATTTAGGAGGTATATAGGGCAGTTGGCCTATAGGTACAGTGTTATCAGATCTGAGTTCTCTTTGAGCCTGAAGTTAACATTCATAAAATTCTAAGCAAGGACTTTAAAACATATTCCTTTTTCATAGCTCAAACGTGAAAGATCTCCAAAGTGAAGGATCTCAACCAACACACAAAGGTACCTTTCCACTGTATCTTCCCCACTAGATTGTCAGCTCTGTAGGGCAGACATTATATTACTAATTTCTCATTATAGTACTTTTTGACAGTGTCAGGCACATAGAAAGCATCTAGAAATGTCCATTAAATAAATAATTCCCCATCTAGGATGAGTTAATTTCATTTCCTCCAACTGTGTTCTATCCCCTTGAATCCTTACCTGGGGTCTGAGCTCTCTCTTGATTCCCTATCTATACGGTATATGTACAGTATCTACCATTCTTGCATTTATTCATCTAAGAAGAACAGTGGTTCCTTGCTACTCACAAGGTGCTTGATTCCAGGACTCACCATGGATACCCAAATCCATAGATACTCAAATCCATAGATACTCAGGTCCCTTACATAAAATGGCTCAGTATTTGCATATAACCTATGCATACCTTCCTAAAGAGTTTAAGTCATCTCTAGAGTACTTATAATACCTAATACAAGGTAAATGCTTTAGAGAGTTTTTATACTGTATTATTTAGGGAATAGTGACAAGACAAAGAGTCTGTACATATTCAGTACAGACATAATTTTATTTTTCTGAATAAAATCCAGTATGCAATCTACTACTGGCTGAATCTACAGATGCAGAACAGTAGATACAGAAGGCCAACTACAGTCTTGTGTAAATGCAACTTAATTCTTTTAAATAAGCCAAACTTTCTCTCATCCACATTTATCCAATAAAGTAAAAATTGCTATTGAGTTCTTACTACACTAAATATCAAAATAATTAAATAAAAAGTAGGGAAAATTGACTTGAAATTTTATTTTAATTTTTAACCTAATTTTATAAACTTCAAGCCCAATATAAAAAATTCAATACAAAAGCAGAGATAATTCAGTCCTTGCTAGATTTCATAATCAATATTCAAGACTCAGTTTCTCTGTTGTAGCAAAATGTCCCAAGATTCCTTTTATAGTTTCTATGGAATTAAATTTAAACTTAGTGATTAAAGAATCAAGAATTACTAAAATAAAAACATGTATTCAGACTTATTTGAAAAATCCCTATTTAGTCAAATTTCCATAGGATTTCTGATAGAGGAAAGAACAAAAGTAAAGGCTTAAGCAGGAAAGTATACTGTGAGTGATTCAGTTTTCCTGGCACATAACATGAACTAAGGCAAAGTAAGATGGACAGTCAGTTGGTGCTGGATAATAAGGGCTGGAAAGCCATGCTGGAGTATTTGATTCATATGTTGCAGTTAGGTATTAAAGGCTGCTAATCAAAGCTGTGCTTCAGGAAGATGATCAGACTAGAAGGGCTTGAAACTAGAAGCTAAAAGACCCATTAGGAAATCACAGTAATAGTCCTAATAAAAAGTGAATAGGAACAGCAGCAGTTGAGGGGAAAAGGAAAACAGATGTAAATAGTATGGAATGAGAATAGATAGAAATTTATTACAAGGACCACGGGAACAGGAGTTGTCGGTTATTCTGCCTTTTTTTTTTAGGTAGGACTATCGGAGAGGACATGTTCATTCACAGAATAAGGAACTATGAGGATGGGCAGTTCTGAGTGGTTAGCTGTTTTGGACATGTAAGAGTGAATATATTTAACAGGCAGTTGAAAATACACCCAGGGAGAGACTGAAAGAGTATTGTACTTAGAATTCATATGTACTAAAATGAGAGTTGAAGATATAGAAATGTGTGACATCAGAGAAGAAAAGGGTATGGAGGCGAAATGGGGCCAAGGCCTGATCTGCATATAATATTCAGAAGTATAAACAGAGGAAATCAGAAGAAATTCTTGAGTTCACACTGACAATTCAAATAAAACTGATGAATTAGGATACCTGAAAATCAATGCTGGGCTCTTGCCTTTGGAGCCAGGCATATTAGGAGTGAAGTTTGCAAAACTTGGAGACTGTCTCTCTGGTCTCTTAGGGCTGAGTTTGCTTGTAGGAGTGGTATGACTGCTCTTCAATGTGGACAGAAAGCTTCTGCTTTTACCATGATGTTTAACCGTTCTGTTGCATGTTTTACAAGTAATCAACTACCAAAAAAAGAAGAAACATGGGTTATATTTTATTCAATAAACCACATGTTCCCTGGATTCTTACGTCTGGTTGCTACAGAAATAAATAACACATAGGCTGCCCTCTGGGAGACCGCAATTTAGCAGTAGGAATAAGACAAAGACAAATTTAACATTAGAAAATTTTCAACAAAAAATTAATGGTTAAACATATTGGTTTTAAAAGAGTTTTTTGTTTTTGTTTTTGTTTTTTTCCTTACAGATAATGAGCTCACTAGTTTCTCAACACAAACCATGTTTGGGGGAATTAAGAAGGAGACTAGGAACAACATTCTAACATTTGAATGTTCTTTGTAAAATCAATAGGCATTTAATATTTTTTGCAGATGAACTTCAAGTCTTTTCCCAATAAAACACAGTAGAATATCACTGAAAATTTAAGTGCCCCCTTTAAATCCTTAGCAATTCTGAAAATAGTTATACAATAATTTATAAAAACAAATGAATTATCAATATTCTCACACCTCTTCATTCCTGTCATTAGCTTTAGAGGTTGACTTTCTCTTCAAGATTAATTTTTAGGGCTGGGGTTGTGGCTCAGTGGTAGACTGCTTGCCTAGCATGTGTAAGGCACTGGGTTTGATTCTCAGCACCACATATAAACTAATCAATAAATAAAGGCCCATCAATAACTAATAAAAAATTTTTAAAAAGATTAATCTTTAAAGAAATGGTCCATTGTCTAGCTAATGCCTTTCTTCTACACCTCTCACTCAAAATGCACAGAATTCAGCCCATGCTTCAACACAATATAAACCGGTTTAGGTGAGATATTTTCAGAAGTTCTGTTTATATTTTTCCAAAAGAGGCTTTAAAAGAGGTCAAAATAAATCAGCAAAATCAACACCCCTAGCATCCTTTAGCTGACCTTTAATTAAAATACATCAGAATGTAAGTTTCATGAAGGTAAAATACTGGAAGACAACAAGGAAGCACTTATTATCTTCCCATTTAGGAACATTTAACAAATATGTGGCAGTGATACTTTTTGAAAAATATAATTCTCCAAAGAGAAAGAGTAAATTCTACTTACTCCAGTATTTTCTCTTACCCTTTGAACATTTGATTTTATGACAAAACAAAATGCACTTACTTGTCCAATACTGGTAAACTCCTAAATATGGCAATTTTCAATTCAAGTTATTACTAATTATAGTCTTGGGCCAAACCTAAGCTGTTATAATGTCCAATATCCAGCAGTGCCTTCCACTTGAATCTGGATACTTGAAATATGAAGGATACAAAATACATCTGACACTGGCCTCCACCTAGTAAACCATAAGTAATTTGATTTTGTTTTATTCCATTTTATATCCTTAGTACTAAGCACTGAGTGGCATATAACAGAATACTGAATGAATGCAAGACACTCACCTGTTGTTGGGCAAACAAGTAGTTACACACTAACATGGGGGAAATGAATGAACAAAGGACACTAATACCTACATACATAAAATACAGCAGTGTGAAGAAAAGAACCGTTAACTGAAAAAACAGTGTAGTGGTTGGTAATTACAGTTCAAATGGAGTCATTCTGATGTGACCAAGAAATCCTGACATTTTAACTGTTCACCAATGAGATCTGAGAATAATTAACAACATACAATGTTTAGTTTTGAGGTAATTATGAAATTAAACAAATGTACTCTTGATGAAACATTAATCACTAGAAAAAAATTTTATGTATATATTATAATAATCCAGATATACTACTACAAATTTCTGAGTTATAGGCTGATTCTTAACATTATTCTAAGTGACAGAAAGGAATTACAACTTATTAATATATACTGGAACTGAAATCTTACCAATACACTTTTGGAGTCTTTATACTTTTTGACTATTTTTGCTTCTTTAAAACTGAGCGTATTATTTCTTGCTTCTCGATTAAGAAGTTTCTGTATTCTAGGTGTCAATTTGGCCTTGGGTTTGAGACGCACTCTAGAATTATCCAGAACCAACAGCTGGAAACAGTATGGACATGTTTCTTCAAAAGTGCTCTTGTCATCTAAAACTATGCAAATGAAACGATTCAGTAAACTGAACTATTCTATTATCTCAAACAGTTGACATTAAAAATATTAAGAAGAAAAGGTACTGGCATGAGCAGACAATATGTATTCTTTAAGCAAACTTAAAATACAAAAATTTCAAAAACACAAAACTGGCAACAATTTATCTTGCAAAATTCTACAATTCCATCCATTCACTCCTTTCAACAGACAGGCTAGGTCTCCAATATTTGCTACCTGGCTCATTACTTGTCACTACTTTTTAAAAAACAAATTACAGTATGATTTTCTTTTTATAAACAATCATCACAATCAATGCTTATTGAGTACCTACTGTTGAGCATTATTCTAGAGATGCAAGAACAAGAGTACTACAAATGATCAAAGGACAGACATGTCTATAACTTACCTCTGCCAAATGTAAGATTCATTTATATTTACTGAGTGACTATTAAGTGCTAGATATTGTTGTGGGTGTTAGAGATACAGCCCTAAACAAAGGACCACAATCTACGGAGGCATCTTTTAGGTGCTGCCAGGAAAAAAAAAATGTAAGACAGGAAAGAACAGAGTGTGTTGTAATTTTAAATAGGATGTCTAGGGAAGGCTTCATTAAGTGACATTTACAGGTAGGAATCAAAGCAGGTTTGTGAGCCAAGAGTTCTAGGTAGGGGACAGGGCAGCTCCAAAGGCTCTGAAACAAAACAAACAAAAAAACAGTAAGCAGGCCAACCTACAAGGCTGAAGTCAAATGAACAAATGAGAACAGGTCAGAGAAGTTATGTGGGCCTATCCTATAGGGTTGAATAATCTTTCTAAAGGACTTTTACTCTGACATGGGAAGCCTTTTATGGCAGGGAAGGGTCATGATCTAGTTTTGTTTTTTAATCTCAGTCACTCTGGCTGCTGGTTTGAGAACAGACTGTATGAATGCATGGTAGCTGCTGGTAGTAATCCAGGAAAGGCAGTGGATGCGATAAAAATTGGCTAGACTTGGTGTTTTTTTGTTTGTTTTGTTTTTGTAGGGGGGATTGAACCCAGAGGCCCTTTACCACTGAGCCACACCCTCAGCCCTTTTACTTTTTATTTCGAGAGAGGGAATCTCTAAATTGCTAAGGATCCACTAAGTTGCTGAGGCTAGCTTTGAACTTGTGCTTCTCTTGTCTCAGCGTCCGAGCCAGTAGGATTACAGGTGTGCACCACTGTGCCGGCTACAATTGGGAAATCTTAAAGCAAACAGAATTTGCAAGCATATTGATGGGGGAGAAGAGGGTTTTTAGGGGGTCAAGAATGGCTCCAAGAGTTTGGGCTGAATAACTCTCAGGGTCAGCACTTACTGAGACGGGAACAACCAAGGCATTTGTTGGCGGTTATGCTCAGGTTTTAGACAATTAAGTTTGAAATGCATACTAGACATTCAAAAGAGGTTGTCAAGAAGGCACCTGACGTGGGTCTCCAATTCGGAGGGGGTTGGGGCTAGAACTTGGTTAGGCCTGGTATTTAAATACTATGAGACTGGATGAAAAACGATCAGCAAAGAAGTGAGTGTAGCTCGAAAAATGGTCCAAGGGCTGAGTCTGGATCCACTGTAATATTTAGAAGTTGCGGAACCGGGAGGAATCAGCAAAGCAGATCAACAGGTGCTGGAAAAGGTCAAAGATGAATGTGATGACCTGGGGGTCAAATGGAAACTATTTCGAAAACACTGAAAAATATGTCCAATGTCAAGCAAGATAAGGCACACTCAGGAATGTGGATTTCTCATAAAACTGGGAAACTTCCGCTTTGTTTTGCTTTTAAAACGAGACAAGTGAGTCGATCAGCCTTCTCTTTTAGATCACTCGGAGCGCTGTGCGGAATGGGTACAGCAGGGCAACAGGACCTAACCCCCCAACAGACAGGGGTCCTCCCTACCGTGTGACGAACTGTAGGCCCAGCTGTAAAAGAGAAAGAGACACGTTAGGAGCAAAGGAACACCTCCCGCCCGCTCCCGCTTCCCTCCGTCCCTCTCCTACAGGAGATAGCGGGCCTGGCCCGGGCAGCTCTCGACTAGGTTTCGCGCCGCAGCCTCCAAATAGTGCTTCTGCCTCATCTTCACTACCACTTGCCGCCGAGACCCAGCAAAAAAAGGAGACGCCGGATGTCGGCTTTCTAGCGTCATCAGCGTTGGCCTCAGGATTCAAGTTCCTGTTGGAAACGGGCACCCGCAGCTAAAGGTTCCGGGTTCGTTCGAGTCCCGCCTGGCGCGCAGGCGTGCCCAGCCAGGAGCTCGCCTTCACCACTGTCCTGCACCAGCGTTCTCTGTTCTGCCTGGTCCGCTTAAACCCTCCGCGAGGTTCTTGACCAGGCAAGGGCGGCCAGGTCTGGAACTTAGTGTCTTCCTCTTCCGCTCGCTTGCTCCTTGACAGCTGTGTTATCCCGTCAGGGTCAAGTTTTTCTGGGTAGCGGGAAAAGGCAGGGTTTATGATGAGATTAGTCAACTAGCTAGTCATCCACATTTTTTTTTCCCTCACACGTTTCTAGTTCGATTTTTATTCTTGTACATTTTTTATTGACATCAAGTGTATCTTCACTTAAGCGTAAGGTTGAGCAGCTGACGTTTCTTTCAAGGTGGATAGCAGGTTATGCAAAGACCCCTTAGGACTTCTCCATCTGCATTGAAATAAAGATAAAATGCAATGAGGACTGAAGGTGTGCCAGGAACTTCTTAAAAGCATCTTAATAAGTATTAATTCATGTAGTCCTCAGGGCAACCTCATAGCACAGGTGAAATTTCACTTCGTCATGTAGAAAAACCTTTTAAACGTGGTGGAATCTATTTCTAGACTCTTTGTTCTGTTCACTAACCAATGAAGCAGAAAAGAGGAAACATGCACACACTGTGCCTGGTGCCCAGCACACTTCCTTCAGCCAGTCCTCTCTTCTCACCTCTGAGCATCACACTCCTATACATAAATGCCCCTCAGCATCTCTACTGAAATTGCAACTTCTTTTCTCAGTCGAGATGTGGCCAAAAAGCACTCTTGGTCTCTTCCACCATCCTTCCTGGCTGCTCAGTCTTTTTCCATCTTAGCACACCCAACCTCACTGCATTTCCTCTTTCCTGACTTGCAATTGGTCTGCGTACACGTCCTGTTGGCTCTCCACCAACAGCAAATCACTACGCTGTCCACTTCTCTGCACCATCATGTCCATCCTGTTCTCTTGCCTGTGCCTCTAACACAGTCCCCTCCATTCTTTTCCTGATTCCTTTCCTATTCCCCCAGTTCATTCTCAACAAAACAGACTAGACAGCCTTCTTAAAATGTACAGTAAATGATTTTTGTGACTATAAAATGTTCCTGCTCAGAGACTTCTCAAGGCTCCTTAGTGCACTTAGAACACCAGCACCTGGTCATGCTTTCCAGGGCCCTCTCTGGGCAGATGACTGCCTCCATCTCAGACCTCATCTTGTCTCATCTGCTCACTGCTCTTTCCACAATAGCCTTCTCTTTTGTCTCTCAAACACATCCTGTTGAGACCTCCTCCAGGGTCTTTGCTGTTCTCTGCTTTGAATGAGAATCCTTCCCATGGCTGCTTGTCCTTTTCAAAGGCCTTCCTTGACTCTCTGAATAAAAGAGTTTCTCCCTTCCCATCAAGTAATTTTCTTCCATTACTTGTTTTTACTTGTGTCATATGTTAAATGAAACTAAATCTGGCCTGAGGATGCCTTTGTACTTGAGTCCTTATGTAATGAGCTATAACCTAATGAGTATGTAAGCTAACTGAATATCTAACAGATAGCTATACTTTTCTAATAAATAGCTGAATCTCAGCCAATCATGGTAGCTGAGCCTCATAAAAATCACAGGTGGCCAACTGATCAACCAAGTTCAGATGAGGCAAATCCGGAGCTGTTACTAGTCAAGCTGTCTCTGTACCTCACTTCCATTTTTTGCCCATAAATGCTGCCTGTCCACGTTCCAAATCAAATCTCTCTGAACCTGTTCTGGTTTTGAGGGCTGTTTGGTTTGTGAGTCATTCTTTGCTTGATTAAATCCTGTTAAATTTATATTGTCTAAAGTTCTTTTAACACATAGTAACCTTAGTATCTGAAATCACCTTATTCATTCATTGTTTACCTGTACCTATTCAGAGTGAACTAAGGGCAGTAGAACTTGGTGTGTCCTATTTGCTGTTCTGGATATTGTCTGTTGCCTGGCACAGAGAAGGGGCTCAATAAAGATTTGCTAAATGAGTAGGTTCTCATAGCCCCGGTAGCCAGACACTGTTGTTATTCCTACTCCACTGGTAAGACTGAGGCTCAGAGAGAAGTTACTCAATCACAGAACTGATGTTACACTTGAGCCAGCTCCTTTGGCTCTGAAGTCCCCGATCTTCATGTTGGTCCTTTTCTTGCCTGATTCACCCGTCATTGATCTCCTAACACATCACAAACCTTTAATAGAAGGGTGTGTTTTCTGAGTCCAGGTTGCTTCAACCATATTAATCTCCTCTGCATCATTTCCCTGCTTCCAAAAAAATATGAGTCTAACTAAACAGTCTAAACATCAAGCTTTCTGTTTATAGCTCACCAGCGCCATGTCTCCTTTCTCTAGAGAGCTTGTACTTTAAATATATCCTGCCCAGAAATTATTTTTCCATTTCAATAAGAAGGCAGAATGAGTGTAAAGATCAGCTGGCACATTTGGACTCTGGTCTGTTATTAAGTGGCTTTGTAATGGTGAACAATTTTCCTCAGCTCGACTGTACCTCAGTTTAGCGATCTGAAAAAGAAGAGACTAAAACTATAACTAAATGTGGTTCTAGATAAGAATCACCATGTGCATGGAACGTAAAGTTCAGAGTACAAAAGGGATGGGAGCTTGCCTTTCAACTTTAGGCCCCCCAAATCTAGTGAAGGGCTAGTGACCCAAGGACCAGGGCTGTCCCCTACATGTCCACCCAGTCCCCCATGCTCATCACCAGCTGCCTTTACCACCCCACTTCTCTCAAGAGGTAAGAAAAATGTCTCAGAACCATTGCCACAAACTGAAATATATATATATATATATATATATATATATATATATATATATATATATAACTAATTTGATTTTAAAAACTTTGAGGCTATCTTTAGATAATTACAGGCACAAATGCAAAACCATGAGCTCATTTTTTAGTTGGGAATTACTGTAGCAAATATTGATGTTGATTGGGAAAAAAGAAAGGCCTGGAAAAAAGTAGAAAAGAATTACTCATCAATAATTTTATGATTTGGAAAGATGCCAGTACTTTTTTGAGTGTCCATTCTAATACCCCAGAGAAATCAGAGCCCTTGATCTACATGGTTGAATTATTTTGTGGTAACATTGACTTAAGCCTGTCTTTGTCTGATGCACGAGTTAGCTGAGTCTTTCAGTTTCACATGACATTTAGCAACTTCAATTTGTGAAAGCCAGTCAAAGAAGAGCAACTCTGTCAGGCCCAAGTTCAAGCCTTGTCCAGCAGTCCAGTGGACTCAGAGGGAGGTGAAGTGGGAGACGCTCAGGATCCTGAACAGAGCCAGGGATTCAGAGGGCCACCCCTTTCCCAGTTCACACTCAGGAGTGGGGTGAGTGCCTACATAGGCAACCCAGCAGTGTAGACTCACCTTCTATTCACTGCCTGTTTCAGCTTCTGGAAGGTTTTCCTTTGTGAGAATACATTTATGAATCATGTTCTACCCATAGTAGTTAGTAGGTTTTTTTTTTTTTTAACGTTTATTTTTTAGTTTTCGGCAGACACAACATCTTTGTTTGTATGTGGTGCTGAGGATCCAACCCGGGCCGCACGCATGCCAGGCGACTGCGCTACCGCTTGAGCCACATCCCCAGCCCTAGTAGTTTTGTTTTCAATTTCATTCATTTTGCCCCTTAAATACACATTTTTATCTTGGAAATTTTCAAGTGCAAAAGTAATGAGAACATGAAATGAGCCCATCACCCTGTTGTAGGGACAAACGAGGCAAGGCACCAAAGATGGCAGGAAACATTTTTATTTGGCTGCAGCCAGGATCAGAGGGCACAGCTTTTGCTGTAATCAATCAATCCCCTGAACCCCAAGTTCAGGGAGTTTCAGAGTTTTATACCCAGCATGTAAGGGGAGGAGCTCAGAAGTTCACAGTCTGCAGAAGTTCACATAAAAGCAGCTTTTTTCTTTCACTGTTTTGGGCAAGTTAACCCTTCAAGGACAATACCTGAGAAGGGGAGAGCATCTTCTCCCCTTTCTTTGCTCCCTGTGCCAGCTGTTACCATGGAGCCCATTTATAACTTATCTTAAAATGTAGACATTTCTGTGAAGTCCCAGCTCAAGGCCAGAGGCCTTGTTTGCACATTTCTTCAAAGTACTATACTGGATATGTTTGTGAAAAACTAGTAAGGGGTGTCCAGCACCTGGAGTGCTGGTATCTTCTCCGCCAGTGGCCAAGTAAAATAGGGCGACATGAAAATAGGAAGTTTATCTACATTGAACTCTTTTGCAGAGACTCTTTTGCTGGCATTCCTAAAATCAGTCTGGGTGAAGATTTCTGGAGAGGCTCAGTTAAGACTTTTCAGTGGAGAAAGGGGGTGCCACTTCAACCCAGCTTCAATAAGTATCAATGAATGGTCGATCTTGTATTGTTTGTACTTTCCTCTGCTCCTCCACCCCTTTTCTCTCCAACTGGATGGATTGTTTTGAAGCAAATGTCTGTAGGGGTTTCAGGATGGCAGGAGCTGAATGATTTGTATAGACAACCAGAATGCAGCTGGAAAAAAAAAAACCCAGTTAATATACAGGTTGCCAATTTTAAATATCCACCTGAAGCCATTTCAGTCCTTCCCCGTGCCCTTATCATCTTCTGTCTCACCTCTTGCTTTGCAGAAAACTAGAGTCCACTATGTATATGTCATTTAGGAAGAATCAGAAAACTACCAGAAGGGATCAGTGAGAAATCTGTGGGGAGGCAATAGAGATCTAGACTAAGGGAGATCACCAGTGACCCTGGCTTGCTCTGTCTTCCTGCTCCAACATCCTTAGCACGTGGCTTCATCCTAATGATTGCAAGATGGCTGCTGCATTTCTGGGTATGGTGCCTTTTTCCAGACAGAAAGAAGGAAGTCCAAAAAACCAAAGGCCAAATGTTCTCTCTGATACATGGATAC